ACTGGTCACTTTGACAGGTGACCGACATCGGAGATTTGTTGGGTCATGCTTCGACACTGGAGAGCAAGAGAGCATGGGACTTAGAACAAAGAAAGATATAAGCATCGACTACGCGAGCTGCGTGACTGGGGAACAAGAGAACAAGAAAATAGGAAATACGATGCGAAGAATAACATGAGAATCAGTCGACTGTGGTTCTTCTATTCTCCCAATTCGTTAGATTCCCTCATTTTCCACTGTATAAAAGAACACTTTTCGTTAACCTGGGTGAGAAGCACTAATAAATACCCAATCTCAGCATTGAGTGTATTCCAAGCTTATATCTTAAAACTGCTCTCAATTGACCACCAAACACAACTTAGTTTTCTAAACATCACCAAGAAACAAAAACAAAATTAAATCGTTCAACAAACCTGCCCCATTCCAAGCGTGAAAGTGAATTCCTGGTTCCGGGTACGGCTAGAATCGAACTCTGTTCCGTCGAGAAGGGTGCCAGTGTAGTGCATATGTAATACATCACCTTTCCTACAAATTTACATGATCTGATGATTTGAACTAAAGTTTGGTCATATCTGCACAATTTCTTGGCCCTAAGCAATTTTGAACTCTAGCATCCTTTATCCTGTAGAGGCACTTGCAGAACTTACCTCGACTTAATTTCGCACGATTCCGCTCTCTTTTTAATTCCGATCTGAAGTTTGTCGATCTTTTTCTCTTGAGCAACTGTGCAAGTTCCTATAGCAATGGCGAAGAGAAGACAAGACGTCCGCATTTTATAACCTGGAAGCCGGGCAATCGCCAAAAAACATACGTGGAAAGCATGCTCTACTATCAAAATACGTCGCATTGAAAATCAGGGAATTCCAGACGTGGACAAAACAACATAAACTGTTACTTGTGCCGGCTAGTCATCACATAAGTCTTTACCTAGGTGAAATCGCATCCAACTGTAAGTACTAGGTGATGTTGCATACGAATCTGACCACGTTTCTCTATGAAAACCCGCTTTCAAGAGCGAATTTACTTGCACACACCTTGGGCTGTGTAATTGCGTACGACGGGCAAGTACCGTAATTCCACGCCTACCTTTGCTAGGTGCCACTAACAATAGGGCATTGTTCACAGTCGCCAGGCCCTGACGAAACGGCGGTTGGGCGAAAAGCAGTAGATGTGTATCGATTTCGCTGGCGAAAAACGCCACCGCGATGGAGCTAGCGTTTTGTCGAAGGCGAAAAACGTCGCGGTTTGGCGAAACGCCCGTCGATACGTACCAAAACCCTTTCGCCCAACCGCCAGTCGATATGTATCGAAAGCTTTTCGCCGAACCGCCGCGTTTCAGAGAAACGCTGGACCGCAGAGTGTGAACAATGCCTAAAGGGAGACGGCCAGGAGTCACCGCCGCGCTCGAAACTAGGTCACCGCGCGGCGACCTGTTCGCGTGGCGCGGCGGTGAGTCCTGACCTGGCATTTTGCCAACTTCCGATCAATATGACCCTATCGCAGTTTGCTTGGAGCGTTCTCTCTTTTCCTCATCTTCCATCTGCCAAGAACATGTCCAAACATGCAAACATGTTAAAGCATGTAATCGCCGCGCGCGGTGACCCACTTCCCAGCGCGGCGACCTAGTTTCGGCGCGGCGGTGAGTCCTGACACACACCCGCCGCTAAAAACGGTGACGAGTTCACAATTTAATTCCTCAAGAGGAAAATGGGGACTCGTGTGATTCTATCGTCGGCAAGCCAAGCGACGCCGCACACGCCGCGCACGGCACGCCGCAACGCGGCAATCCCGGAGTGGCATTACCGTACTCCCGAGTTGTCATCGGAGCAAGGGATTAGCGTTGTTTCACGGCGTCCTTTAGCAACGCTTCGATGCTCATGCGATCACTTTCTCGATCACTGGTTTCAAAATG